CTAGGTTTCCGGGGACGGGTCGTGGCGCGCGGCACATGAATAGCTGGGATAGAACCCTCGGTGGAACTCGAAGACGGAGGAATTGAAATCCAGGGGTTAGAGGTACCATGGAGTGAAATATTTGTGTTGGGAATCGTCGGCGTATCTACGAGCATGTGAATGTGAGGGTGAAAGACGAGAAGGTTTGGAGGGGTAGGTAGATGGCTTCGGAGTAATTGGCGGTGCTTCAAGACTTAAGGGAGTGACAGCGCCTGGGCCCCGCTTGGCGGGAACCGCTGAAGTTGCCCCGGTGGCCCCAGCGGAGCTTGCGGGCAGATCAAATGCTCCGATGCGTTCTGTGGACCTACCGACAATTCCGGCTCCCGGGCTGGAGCACTGCGGACTGCGACAATAGAGTTGTGCTGGATGATATATGAGCCCTCGAGAGGCAAAAATGCAAGAATTAACATCAAGCAAAGTATACTGTGTTTTCAACTGCCGCCAAAATGTCGTCCTTTTCCCACCTCGTCCGTTTCGAAAGCGAAGATGGCGCTGTTTACTTTGCCGATCTGGGTCCCGATGCGGATGGACCGCCGTCACCCGGCGCGAAGCTCAGCGGTGCCAAAACCATAGAAGCTCTTGCACAAAAGTCCGAAGAGGACATTGTTACCGTGCGCCGCGTAAGTCTTTTTGTTTTGTTTGGTTTCTTTAACTAATCATCCGTCCGCTCTTTCCAACAATTGCTTAACACAGAGTTCGCGCGCTAACACTAATAATAGCTCCTACCACCTCTTCCTCGAGACGGACTCCCGATATACTGTGTCGGCCTCAACTACCGAAGTCATGCAAAGGAAGCCAGCGTCCGTCCCCTCATCCAGCGACCGTAACATCGCGACTGACCGATATCTTTCGCGGTGCTCAGCTTGACATCCCAGCATGCCCGCCCCTTTGGACGAAGCCGGCCGCGGCGCTCGCGAGCCCAGGAGAGGAAATCCCAGTTAACGACTTCTGTGCCAAAAGTCTCCTGGACTACGAGGTAAGGGGACAATAAGCCCACACACACTGCATGCCAGCACAGCATAACCTGACGCATTCATTGTGCAATTAGGGCGAGCTCGTCTTCGTCACGTCAAAGGACGCCAAAAACGTGTCCGCCTCCGAGGCCAAGAACTACATCCTGGGGTACACCATCGGCAACGACCTCTCCTGCCGCATGTACCAGCTTCCGCGCTACTCGGCGGGTCAGTTCTTCTTCGCCAAGGCCTTTGACAAGTTCGCACCCATCGGCCCGTCGCTCATCAGCCCGGCCATCTTTGGGGACGGCTCCGCCTTCGACGTGGTGACCAGAGTCAACGGCGACGTGCGGCAAACGGCCGAGTTCGCACAGGACCTGATATTCAGCCCGGAGAAGATCCTCAGCCACATGAGCCAAGGTATGTTAGGTTGCGGGTGATGTGAGTCTTGGAGTGGATGACTGATTGTCGTGTAGGAACCACGATCCCGGCGGGCACGGCGGTCATGACGGGCACCCCGGCGGGCGTCGGGGCGTTTCGCCAGCCCAAGAGCTTTCTGCAGGACGGCGATGTGGTCGAGGTGGAGATGAAGAAGGTCGGCGTTTTGCGGAATAAGATCAGATTTGAGTAAGTGAATACTCTCGGGTGATGAGCTTTCTCTGTCATTGTACAAAAGGACTGATCGAGAACTCTGTGAAAAGAGTGGGCATGCTCACACGAGTGATCTTATTCATACAATGGGCTGTAATTTCTCTCGTCACTAGGTAGGCCGATAGACGCAAAAAGTAGGTATCCATCAACTATGGGCACAGAAGAAATGATCCTCTCAAAGTATGCTGGCGCAGGGCATTGAGCCACAAACCTCTCAACATTGCACGTGTAAGACAAGACCGAAAGAGAAGACATAAGCTTCAACAGAAAGAAACCGTCACAGTTCATCCTAGGCGCCTCAGTTGTCTGTCAATCAAAACCTGGTCTCCAGGCAGCTCGGTTGGCGAAAGCAACTAAAACCAGCTGGGAAGTTCAAGTATCGTGGGATTGTTCCAAAATTCACCTTCTTATTCAAGTTGTTCGCGTTGCTTCTACGAGTTCCCCTTCTCGGAGTACTTCTATCACAGCGGGTTGTTTTCGGCAAGTCAACGCGTTGTTGCATACGGCGTCAAATCCTTTGATCACTGGGCCAATTTCATGATACTGACAGCTCGACAACATTCCGTGAGTACGGAAGAGCACTTAGAAGTTTCTGCGATCAGACGACGGAAGTTCCTCCGCCTCGCAACATGTAACTTGTAAGGGAATCGAATTTTGAAAGAAGTACTGGGCAGACATGATACGATGCAAACGAAAGTTCTTCGGCCTCGCCTAGCTAAAGGAGAGTCGGGAGAAAAGAGAGTTCTGCACGATACATTGGCAGTTCTGCCAGAGACCCATAGGTATCGGCTGAGTCAAGGAGAAGTGCAGTGGCCGACAGAATTTGGCATCATAGATTTGACGGGTATCACCGCCGGCTTTCTCATTAAGCCGACCACCCGTTTCCTCATCCAACATGCGAAATTACACGGATTACTACCACCATCAGTGATAACCAGAAGCCCTCCTTATTCAGCCCGTCAATCATGGTTTCAGAAGCCCAACAATTCCGAGTCCCCCAGAGTTATCAGATGCCATTTTTGCACCTTGTTGGGAACCGACGGTTGAGGAACTTCGTTTTGAGCCAATGGCGGAGTAATCCATCCCCGGCCCTTGCGCCTGCTTCCCGTTTGACCCCTTGTTGGTATCGAGAGCTCAGCTAACCAAGGATGCTTCGCCAGGAGGGTACTCCAGAGCCAACGGAACCCCGATTAGGAAGGTGGGCTTCGTCACCGACTGGTGGGGTATCGGGAGTGAGCCACTAGTGCACCGTGGTACCGGCTACGGCCCCACTCTCCGCTCGCCGTGCGTCCGTACTACAGCAAGGATCAATCCACAGAGATAAGTTGTTGGTTCAGATTTCTCTATCTATTTTTCAATTCACATTCTTCATGTCACCATCGACTTAGAGGGTCATCTCACGATCATTGGGGCGAGGGCATCGTTCAGCCAAGACTTGAGCAGTCTGAGCGCGACAGCATCAGACTTTACGGCTCCCGCACAACTCGGGATTCAATCGATTCGTACGCATGCGACCGTAGAAAACCAAACCTACAATGTCCCGGAACGCACCCGAAGCCGCCGAAGGCCTCGCCGTTGAGAACGGCCCGGACCCAGAAAAGAACGGCGTGAAAGGAGGAGAACCACCACGCGATCCAAACATTGTCGACTTTGACGGCCCAAATGACCCAGAACACCCCCTCAACTGGTCAACAACCCGGAAGACGATCACCATCGTCATCGTGTCCCTGACCGCCCTCCTCTCGTAATGTTGAGTCTCAATCTAAGCCCAGTCGTCATACACCATAGTTCCCAAAAAGCTGATTTGCATTTCACGTCCTCTCCCAGACCCATCGGCTCAACAATCAGCGCCGCCGCGGCAGCCGACATCATGCACCACTTCAACACCACAAACGCCACCCTCGGCGCGCTCATGACCACAATTTACCTCCTCGGCTACGCCTTCGGGCCCCTGCTCATCGCGCCGCTCTCCGAGCTCCACGGCCGCGCCCCCGTCTTCCGCGCCTGCGCCGCCCTCTTCGCGCTCTTCAACGCCGCCTGCGCGCTCGCACCCAGCCTCGGCGCGCTGATAGCCTTCCGCCTGCTGGCCGGCATCGCGGGGTCCTGCGCCGGCACGCTGGGCGCGAGCGCCATCGCGGACATGGTGCCGCGCGAGCGCCGCGGGCGGGTCATGTCGGCGTACATCATGGGCCCGACGCTGGGGCCGACGATTGGGCCGATTATTGGGGGGAACCTGACGGCGGCGGCGGGGTGGCGGTGGGATTTCTGGGTGATGGCGATCGCGGCGGGGGTGATGGCTGTGTGTGTGTTGTTGTTCTTGCACGAGTCGTATCCGTATGCGATACTGAAGAGGAAGACGGCAAGGTTGCGGAAGAGTACCGGGAATGAGGACCTGAGGTCGGCGTTGGACACGAGCAAGACGCCCGGGCAGCTGTTCAAGTTTGCGATTTTGCGCCCGCCGAAGATGCTTGTCGCGCCCATTATTTTCTTGATGTCGGCGTACGCTGCGACTGTGTTTAGTTACGCCTACCTGTGCTTCACGACATTCCCGCGCATTTTCAAGGACCAATACGGCTTCGGCAGCGGCGCGTCGGGGCTGACTAGCATCGGGATCGGAGTCGGTTTCATCCTGGGTCTTCTCTTCGTCGGGGCCGTCTCCGATCCCTGGTCCGCCTATCTCACCAAGAAGAACGACGGCGTGGCCAAGCCCGAGTTTCGACTGCCCACATTGGTCATCGGCGCCGTCTTCGTCCCCATCGGACTGTTCTGGTACGGATGGTCAGCCGAGTTCAAGGCGCATTGGATCGTGCCCATCATGGGAACCGCTCTGCTTGGCATCGGCATCGTGACTGCATATGTGAGTTTCTCTCATGCCATCGCCTTTGGCAGCAAGACTGATCAACGTTCCTTCTGCAGACAACCACCGCTACATATCTCATCGACGCATACACGGTCTACTCCGCCTCAGTCATGGCCGCGAGCGCCATCCTCCGCTGTCTCTTCGGAGCGCTGCTGCCTCTGGCTGGCAGCGCCATGTTCGACGCACTGGGGGTAGGCTGGGGCAACTCGGTTCTCGGGTTCATATCGCTTGCCTTTCTTCCGTTGCCCTTCATACTCTTCTTCTACGGCGAAAGAATCCGCGAGTCGAAGCTTTTTAAGATGCAGTTTTAGCATGTTTGGGTGGCAGTGCTCTATTTAATATGTATGAACTGACTTTCTCCAAATGTGACGACCCCAAACAAACTTTCGACCTAACCTTCACTGATCCCCGCCGAGAACCGCATTCTTAACCCCATCTAACAACTTGATGTCTGTATCCAGTCCCGTCCTTTTCGAGCCTCATCTCGTACCACATCTTCACGACATCACGGCACTCCTGCGCTTGGTGGAGGTGGAGGTAGGCAGGGTGGCGGTGAGGGAGTCGGTGTTCAGAGAGCTGGTATCGAGAGAGTCGGTGTTCAGGGAGTCAGTGTTGAGGGCGCCGGTATCGAGGGCGCTAGTATCGAGAGCGCTGGTGTCGAAGGCACTGGTATCGACAACCCGCCTCTGAACAGGGAGTTTAGGTTCGGAGACGTCCCCGACACCACTCTCGTCACCATTATCCACCGACGTCCACTCCGCAGCGTCAGGAATCGCAGCGTCGTCGTCCTGGGCGGGGACCGCGAGGGCCGGGGCCTCGAGCCCTTCCGCTGTGGGGATGGATGCGTCGTCGGCCAAAGCGGGGCCGTCGGCCGGGACGGGGACGGGGATTGCGAGGGCCGCATAGGCTAGGGCGGCGATGAGGAGCGCTCTGACCATGGTTGCAACTTCTGAGATGGCAAAGTAGTAGTGATATTGGAAGGGATTTATGGATTGAAAGAGCGTTGTGAAGAGAATTGGAGAAACGCGTGGGTCAGGTTTCTCTGTTCGCCGGAGACGGATTTCCATGGGGCAGGCTTGGCTTAAGTGCTCCCTGTCCAACCTCCTTGAGGGCGAGAATTGGGAAAGAGGTTCCATGTCCTGATCATTATGCTTTTTTGGGACTTTACAAGCCCGTTGAACTCATGTCATCTCCTGAGTGGAAATAGCCTTGGCGATGCAACTTTTTTGATGAGACTGTTTGGCAGAGGCGCATTTTCCGGGCTGATCATGACGTCTGGATGCTCGGTATTTGTATATGTGACGCTTTCTTTCCATCGGAATCTAAGTCAGATTCACTTAGCGCTCTGAGACCATCTTACAAGGCCGCCTTGCAAGAACATCGTCTAACATCTCCAGAGTAATCACCGTTGCAACGGCCGACGAGGTACTGCTGCGGCACCACCACGACTGAAACATGGCGTTCAACGGCAATACCTTCAACCTCGAATTAGCCAACACAGGTTTCGTGGTTTACGAAGAGACCTTGAAACTTGTGGACATTCATTTCCTAACGACCAGATGAGGGGTCGTGGCAAGTCTGCAACACGTCTGCCATCAATCTCTCCATGATGTCCCCAAATCCGCCCTGAAACGTTATATCGAGAGATGGACAATGTTCAAGATCACCTCAAAAGCCCATTCTCCGAACTTGGAGGCTTACAGAACCCGTTTGAGCTTTTGTGTCAGCCACTCATTCCAGCCGATAAGCCAGCTTTCCATCCTTCAGGATAAGCACCTTAACCCAGTTCGACAGTCTGACACGCGTTAGCTTACGCTGCGGCGCAGCACACCAGGCGCCTAGCGTCTGCGAACCACGCCAGATAAATGTGCGATCGTCAATGTTGAACCACTCAACGTCAACATCTCCCCAGAAACCAATCCAAGCTCCTCAAGAAGAAAAGAGAAGCTTCCCTCCCCAGCCCGGAACTCAATCGCAGCATCCAATTTCAACACCACGACAGGCATGGCTTCACAAACCCCACCAGAAAACGGTCTCCATCCCCCTCGTGAATTCCCCGATCCCGCAGAATACTTCGACGACCCGCGATTCAACCGCAAATTCATCCTCCCCCCGACTCCAGACCTCCCAGAGAACTTTCAAGTAACATACGCCGACTTTGGCCACGAAGACCCTTCAGACACATCCTCCACAAACGTCCTCCTCATCTGCGGGCCCCTCCTCGGCAGGTAAGACATCCCATTCACCCCAATCTCATCCCATACCATCTCACTCACATGCACAGCCGTTATCTCCACATCGCCAAAGACACCCTCGCCAAACGCCACAAAGTCCGCATCCTCGACATCGACCGCCCAGGCTTCGGCGGCACCACCCCGGTGCCCCCCAACCTGCGCATCCGCGCCTGGCTGGCCATCGTGCCCGCGCTCCTCGCCCACCTCTCCATCCGCCACGTCGCCCTGGCCGCGCACTCCGGCGGCACCCTCTACGCCCTCAACACCCTGCTGCACCACCGCCACCTGCTCTCCCCCGCCCGGCCGTATGTGGCGCTGTGCGCGCCGTGGGTGCACCCGTCGCACTCGGGCGCCGCGCTGATGAGCCTCACGAGCAGCCTGCCGCAGGGCCTCGTGGGCTCGTTCGACAAGGTCGCCGGCTTCATGATGCGCAGCCTCGTCCCTTCGACGGTCGGCTTCAGCAACGCCGTGAGCGGCATGTTAAGCGGGATCGTGCCGAGTCTTGCGGAGGAGTATACCGCGCCCGGGGTGAGTGATGTACGCCTCGCGGAGTTTGAGGAGAAGATCTGGTGGAAGCTGGTTAAGCGGGTGTATGCGGAGAGCGTGCAGGGGTTAGGGCAGGATGCGGTGCTGCTGCTGAAGAGGGATGGGAATGAGAGTTTCTGGGGCGAATGGGGGGATTACGATACGCTGGTACCGCTGTTGGCGCAGCAGGAGAGGGAGCTGGGAGAGGGTGGCGGGTTGGAGGTTGAGGTGTTCTTCGCGGCGTCGGATGCGATGATTGGGACGGGCGACGGGCCCATATGGTTTGAGCAGTGTTGGAGGGAGGAGCAGAGGGGGGAGAAGATCAAGTTCTCGAGCTCTGTGGTCCCGGAGGCGGATCATGATTCGATTGTGAGTTTGAGGTTTGATGTGTTTGAGCGGATTATTAGGAGCGTTGGAGGTGTAGTTACGAAGGCGGCGTCTCCTGTTTCTGCAGAGCAGACTGCGGTTTGATGAAGCCAACATTACTGCGAATGTAAGTTCGGCGTGCTTTCTTTGAATTCTTGAAATTTGCTCCTCTTTTGGGGCTTCCGAAACAGCCCCTATTCGGTTCCCTTCAACACAAACATATCCCCCGTCCACCCGTAATTTCGATCCAGCCGCCGCCCGATTCGCCTGGCCACTACGAACGGGATCTTGCTGTACGGGTGCGGCTCGTGGAACTGGATCCGGCTCTGGATGCGGACGGACGGACCCGTACAGCTTCTCGGCGGCGAAGATGCCCGTCCCGGTCATGGCGTGGAGGAAGTCCTTCCACGAGACCTGGCCCGGGTGGGAGGTGACGTTGGGGTCGAAGAAGAGCGTACGGAAGACCTTGAAGGAGCGGGCGTCGACGCGGATTGGGGACGAGGCCGGTTCGTTGCGAGTCTCTGCGTCGGCGGTGGGGGTGGATGTTTCTGCTGGCTCTTGTGATATGACGCCCTTTGTTTTCTTCTTCGCCTTCGGGGGCCGAGACAGATCCTGTGTCGCCTCTCCTGATTTCTCAACGTAGAGTGTTGATAGCGGCTGGTAAATCATGTCCGTCTGAACGTCCGTCGACTTGGGCTTCTTCTCCCCGGTGGCCGGCTCGTCAACCCACTCCGGGGTGCGCTGCAGGCTGCGGTTGTGCTCCAGGACATGTCTCACGGCATCCATCCACAAGCCCCCGGCCTTTTCAAGTATGAGGCGGTCGACGGCGGCCCAGACCGCGTCGAGGTTCATCTCCGCTTCGATCAGCGTGGCTGTAACCGCCTTCGTCCGCCGTTTCTCCGACGGGTAGGCAAATCTACTATTCGAGGGCTCAGCCAGCCTCGCGGCGGGTAGTACATTACTCTCCTTCAGGACCGCCATGACCTTGGCCCGCCCCGCAGTCTGCACCGCAAACTCCTTTTTCAGGCCATCCTCCCTGTCCACCATCTTGGACACGTAGCTTCGTGCCCAGGGCTGGTGGAGATCGAGCTGGGAGATGCACTGCGAGATGATGGAGACGCTTCCGATGACGCTGGCAATGTAGGGGCTGACCAGCTCTTTCGCCTGCGGCTCGGCGTGCAGCAAGCGTCCAGGATCAGGGGCATGCTCGCGAAGAAGAGATTCTGGCTGTCTTCCCAGAGTGTGCGGAGGAGCCACGTCAGCTTCGTCTCGATCTTGTTCATCTTCACCCCGCCCTTCATCTTGATACCGATGAACGAGGCGTTCACGGGCGGGTCGCGCGCGAAGAAGCGGCGCATCGGCGGGGAGGCGACAACGCTTTGCTTAAGCTGCCCAAGCGGGCCCTTGGCTGCTTCGTTGAGGAAGAAACGGAATTTGAGGAGGCAGTTCATGACCTCGTCGGGCAGGTCTTTGGACGAGTGTATCGACCCGGCGTGAGCGGCGAGCACCCTCCTCAGCTCTGACGCGAGGTCGTGGAGTTGCGTGTAACTTCGAGCTCCTCGTAGGCCCTGGCCACAGTCTCCGCGACCACCCAAGCCCAGAAGGCGTCCTTCTTAAGGCGGCTGAGTGTGGGGTGCGCATTTCCGTTGAAGTCTTTAATCATCTCCTGCCGATGCTCCTTGATCTCGGCGAGCTGCTCTGTAAAGTACCCCGGGTCTTCGCGCAGCGACCAGATGTGGTCTCTCGCGGCCGCCACCTTGGTGCCGAGGAGAGACTGAATCCGGTTGAGGTCGAGACGCGCGGGCAGTCGGAAGGGAGCTTCTGCCGCCATCGCTGCCAACGAGTCGAACTCGTCCGTCTCCTGCTCGTTCTTGAACTCGGGCTCCGGTTGGACGGGGAAGACGTCCGTGGTCAGGGTGTCGGAGGGGATGTCGTGGAGGATGAGCTCGCAGCACTTGACCAGGAAACTCAGCGTCCTCTCCTGCGCTTCGAGGACGAGAAGGCCTCGCCTGGCATGAATTGTCTTCGGCTGTGCATTCACTCAAAGGCGTCGGGATGCTCCTCCAATGCCACCAAGTTGCCATACTCACGGGCGTCGCGGGCACCGTGAAGAATCATGACGTAACAATTGAGGAACACGGGGACAATCCTCTTGGTGACGCAGCCTAAGTGCATCGCGTCGTAGTCGGCGCCCGCGAAGTGGGAGGGATGGTGCCGGCCCCGCGCGTTGAGCAGCAGCAGCAGTGTCTTCGGCTTCAGCAGGTCCTCCTGGTTGATGTACGGCCACACGAAGTACTCTCTATCCTGGGTGCTTCCCTGGCGCTGAGCAGACAACGACGACTCCTGCTTGCGCCACGCGTCAAAGTCGGGACGGTGCACGGCGGCCATCCCCGGGCCCCAGGCTCTCGTGAGGGTGTCGAGCCGCTGGTGTCTCTTCTTCCGCGACCAGCGGTGGTGGATCGCGGGCTCGTGGCGTGCGATGATGGCCCTCAGGCGGTCGTAGCTTCCCAGTAAAGAGGACGATAGTGACTCTGCCTCCTTGCGGACCTCGGCCGGGGATTTGTGCGGAATGTCCATGCCTAGGAGTTTGGACATGGTGGCGGGGTCGCTGAAGTCCATCTTGTCGAAGTCAAGATCGGGAAGGTTATATTGCGCGAGTTCATCATCGGACGCGAAAGGGTTGAATTGGTGATCTGGACGAAGTTCCATTTTAGCGTAACTCTTGACGCTCAGCGAGGGAGTTCAATAGGAGGGAGTCCTTCGCGGATGAGCTAAGCGAAATGGATCTCATGTGAGGTTATTCTAGGGGCAGGAGGGCTTCTGGAGCCGTTGTTGCGGCAGGTGTTAGGGCAGGTGTGAGGGCAGGAGGGCAGGAGGGCAGAAGGGCAGAAGGGCTACCTACGCTCCGGTGATTGTGCTGAGGGAAAGTCAGCCTCGAAGTTCTGGTACCTTGGTGATAAGAGCGCTTGAAACTTAGTGGTTGAGCCGTCTCGTGATGCAACGCAGCTTCACAACATGATCGTGAAGTTGAGAAATAAAGCGCTGATCTCCGTTTGACCCGCCGAGATGCCTCAGTTGAAAACGCCTCACACAACTCCATTGAAGTTCGCACTGTGGCGCAGGCCTCTCCGTTTGATGGCACATGAAGTAAGTATCCGTCCGATTCGTCATGCAATTGAAGCCGATGAGGATACTTTTGATGATTTGTACGGATGCGTACATGAGAAGCTGGTGATTGGCATGTCTTCACTGAACATCGGAAGCTGACATATGAGATGACGCCTCATATCTTCAGCACGAAGCCAGGCAGATATCGTTCGTCCCGAAGATGCCTCGCATTCCCAATGGCTTCTAGAATGGCTCTTCCAAAACTCTACCTCGCCAGATACCGACCCCCACAACTGGTTGAGGGGTAGTGAGGAGATTGAGTTCGCGAGCATGAGGGAAGACTTTGGGAGAAGCCTCGGTCCGCTGGTCAACTGCTTTTCAGGCCCTGAAGCTCTGTCCTTTGAGTTTCATGCTCTGGTGAAGAATGGTAGAGACGACATGACATTGCTACCTAGCAAACAGATGGAGACCTTCAGCCTTGAGCTGCTCATTTAGGAGAAGTGAACCCAAAAGAAACCGTTCGTCCCTGAACCGTTGACATTGAAGATGCCCGTTGGTTGGGGACTCCGAGACAAAGCGTTCCAGCACCCCAAAAGACACCCAGGATGACATCTGTTAGCAACCCCACCACAACCCCGGCCCGTCCTTATCTCGCCCCATTACCAAAACCCCACATCGTCGGCACGCACGCACAGACCAACGGCCGCCGGGCAGCTCCACCACCCAAAGCTCCCCCAAACTGAAGAAGCTCCGGCAGCGGCCAAGCTCTCTCTCAACTCACACCAACCAACCAGCCAAGCTTCATTCAACCTCGTCTCACACCTCCCTCACTCCTCTTCAACACCACCAAACATCTCACCATCAACATCACAAAACGCCGCCCAAAATGCCAACAAAACTCACAACATCCCTCTCCCTCCACATCCCCGCCTCCCCCCTCACGCCCTCCTCCTTCGCCCCCTTCGGCGACGTAATCGCCAACCCGCACCCGGACATCCGCCCCTCCGCCTCCCTCTCCTCCACCCTCTCCCACAACGCCGTCTCCGCGAACCAACACACCGCAATCAAGTACCAAAACGTCTCCGCCCCAGCCGACCTCTACGCCCAAGCCCCCTCCGCCGCCTCCAAACCCATCGTGTCCATCTTCTCCTGCGCCGCCCGCCAGCTCCAGCAACCCCCGTCCCCCTCCGGCAACCCGCCCATCTCCACCCTGCTGCCCTACACCTACGCCGGGCCCTCCCGCGCCGGCCTCTTCCGCGTCGACATCCTCGAGCGCCACCCCTTCACGACCCAGACCTTTGTGCCATTGGCGGCGTCCGCGGGCGTCCCGCACGCGGCCTACCTCGTCATCGTCGCGCCCACCCTCCCCTCGACGGCAGGGGAGGAGTCGCTGCCGGCGCCGAAGACGGGGGGCAAGGGCCCCGGACTGCCCGACCTCGCGAACCTGAAGGCGTTCGTCGCGACGCCGGGACAGGCGGTGACGTACGGCGCCGGGACGTGGCACGCGCCGATGGTGGCTTTGGGGCCGCCCGGCACGGCGATCGATTTCGTGGTCACGCAGTTCGCGAGCGGGGTGGGCGTTGAAGATTGTCAGGAGGTCGTGATCGAGGCGCAGGGCGAGGGGGTTGTGGTGCAGGTGCCCGAGAGGATGCCTGTTGCCAAGTTGTGAGCGCGGTGATGCGAGGATGAGGTGTTGAGAGATTAGGGAAAAGAGGCGGAAAATTACTACGCTGCTTTCTTGCTTTTGCGTATTAGATCTTCAGGCTTGGTCATGTTTGGAAATCTTTGGTCAGGCAGGCGTCGGGCATGTCTCGGGAAACGGCGTCGTATAGATAAATCACCAAATTGAGACAAATTGAAAGTTCAACATACCATCTACGGTGTGGTGTGATATTCAGGGGATTGGCAGTAGGTAGGCGCTCTACCATGGCGTCGTCGTCTCGGTCACTGGAGTCAAAGTCAAGGTCAAGTCAATAACACCAAGCAGAAAACATCAT